TTGTCTTCCACTCATTAACCAGGAGGAGTTTACTTTTAACACATGTGACTGGCTTGCTTGATGAGGTTGACGGTTAAGGGATTAATCACTAGTTCGACTTTGACACGTCCACTTCGTAAATTGTATCACTAATTTTTTATAGCTTAATGATCAATGATAATGAAAATTAAACATATATAGTACAGTACTTAATTTATTATTGACAGGGTACCAATCAACTTGAGCATGAGCCGGTGGATGATTGAAGAACGTTCAAATGTTGAATTATATATATATATGTGTGTGTGTGTGTGTGTGTGTGTGTATGTGTGTTGGAGTGCACTAAAAAATTCTAGATGTGCAATTTGAAAACTTTTCAGTGTTAGTGCAAGTTTTTACAAGTCTCTATTCATTTAATATTTCATCAAGTTGGCTATTACAAAGGCTATATCCTTTCCTACAGGTCTTCAAGTTGATTAAACTGCTGGAGGAGTTGAAGTTTTTAGAATTCATCATTTTTAATTTTCTCCTTTATCATTATTTTTAGATGCTGTAATTACAATTTCGTGTTGAACTTCGAATTTTTTTGACAATTGTAACATATTCGAGCTTTATCGTAGATCAACCAATTGTTTAATGTGAAGGGACAAATGCTAATAAAATATTGTTCTAAATTCTACCATCATAAACTCTTACAGAAAAAAAGAATACAAAAACTCTTACTAATCAAGCGAATACGTGCTTTGGTTTACTTCTAATCCGGGACTTTTTGGGGGAAAATCAACAAATTTGGTTACTCTGTTGCAATTCCACCGCTGCCATTGCCAGCTTATGATGGCTTGCACCTACCATTGATAGGACCTAGTACAGCATATCCTTAGCTTTACTCCTAAAGGACCATGAACAGCCCTCAGGCCGCTACGAGCCCAAACTTATTGCCACATTCAAAACGACGAAAGAGACGACGGAGGAAGATATGGAAGCGAACATAACAAACCCGGAATGTACCAATTTGTCATTCAAATGAATTTATTCCGACCATCTCGTGAAGACGAAAGAGCAAAAAACAAAAATAGAAAACTCAATCCATCTCGCGCAGTCAATACTCTCATAAGAAAGGGCATCCAGTTACAATAAATAAAAGAGTTTTAATCTTTACTACAATATTGATATCCAACTTAAGTTGCCCGCAAAAAAAAAAAAAAAAAAAGAAAAAAAACCAACTCAAAGTTCTAGAAATACTTCACACAAACTTCGGGAAAAAAAAAAAGCCTTACACTCAAGTAATTAATATTGGCAAGCTTTTCACAATGAAAAGAAACAATAATAATAATGACAAACAATATAAAGAATATAACTATGACGGCATTGGCAAAACCCGAAGTAGATACCAAGTTAATCTCTGTTTACAGGCTCATACTTCCATAGCAGTACCCAAACCTAGACAAACACTAGCATTTGCTAAAAAACCAAGTATTGCATTGCAAATAGTGACTTGAAAGATACAAAAGGACTCAAAACTGAAATCCACGACCATGACAACAGAAACAACTAGATAAAAAGCCGCCTGCATCCAGGATCAACCCATCAAAATGTTACCACATCACTTTATGCCTGCAATGATGTAGGAAAATTAGAAGCAAAGATGAACAATTAAGGAAAAGCAAATTATTAAGAATTTTGTGAAACAGTAACTGTAAATGCACATATAAGTACTTGCCTTATTAGCAATATTGTTAGAGAGCCAATCCAGGCCTTCGTAGAGCCCCTCTCCAGAAGTTGCACAGGTGCTTTGGATATACCTGCAAGATCCAAGAATATATCCAAAACTTAGAGGATACAGGATCAATGTGTAGATATTGACAAAAGCCTCATGCTTGCAAAATTTACCAGTGGCGCTGCCTGAGGGAGTGGAGGCCAAGCTTATCAGTTATTTCAGCAGCATTCATTGCATTAGGAAGATCTTGTTTGTTAGCAAATACAAGTAATACTGCATCACGTAGCTCATCCTGCATTGGAGATCAACATTCAATAACATATTTACACATGTATTCGCAATTTACTTCAAAACTCAATTCTGAAAAGATCTTGCATCTGGTTGCAGCAATTAAGTTTTCAGGTCATATGCTAATTCTAGGCATATGAACCTTTGCAATCCATTCATTGTCCTTAAAAATAGATCCTGCATGCATATGTATCAACAAAAAGGATCTTGGGTATTTAACTACAGCGTACTTTTATGTGAAACTGGGTTAAACATCATAAGCTACTGCATCACCTGCTTAATAAGGGAACCATTTACCATGATGAGAAAGGAAGATTGTCCGTCCTACTTGCTCAAGGTAAGATGACAGGCAACTTCTACCCCTCACCCCCCTCCCCCAAAAACTCCCCAAAAAAAAAACTTTTATAACTCTTTTGTTTCATAAGTTACTCAATTATTAGCAGAGATATGCTTCAGAAAGGGCCAGTACCTCATTCAACATCCTGTGTAATTCATCCCTTGCCTCCACAACACGGTCCCTATCATTGCTATCTACCACAAATATAAGACCCTGAGTATTTTGGAAGTAGTGCCTCCACAAAGGACGAATCTGTCAAACGTCAGCACAAATTTCCTCATTGGACATTGTAACCAGCGAAGATAATGAGAAAATAATAAATCTATACCAAGGGAAAATTCCTGATATTAACAATCAAAATATGAGCAAATGAGTGCAGCAGTTACCTTGTCCTGACCCCCAACATCCCAAACAGTAAAGCTAATATTCTTATACTCAACAGTCTCAACATTAAAACCTGCAGATTAGAACTGAACAATTACTGCAAGCTCAGCTTCTTTGTAGCAAAACCCAAAAACCTATACAGGACTCCTCGTAAATTTGTGACAAGCTTATAGTCAAGCTCAGCAACAGTTGATGGAATACCAATAGACAACAAAGATAGAAAAATTGATACACAAAATCTTTACGATTACTCACACACACACTAAAGGATTTCAGAAAATGCAAAAATTGAGATCACTGAAGATTTCCCTTAATTGATAAAGTGATTAAACAAAACACATTGTTGGAAAATTATTCAAAAAAATAATCAGAAAGGCATTTTGTTAGCCTTAATTTGCCATTTTGTTAGCCATGATTCATTCAAACCTTGGTCAACCTTAGAGATCTGTATACAAAAGCGCATGTGAGGATGATCATGAAAACCACACACATAAAGACAACTGTTCCAAATACACTCATTCAACTTCGTCTTCATCTTCATGCTAGAGTTTCCAATTGAGGAAATCTAACAATTCGGAACATAAAAGAAGCAGCAATTTCACTAATCATGATGACAGAGCTCGTACCAATGGTGGGAATTGTGGTAACGATCTCTCCGAGCTTGAGCTTGTACAAGATGGTGGTCTTACCAGCTGCATCAAGACCCACCATCAGAATGCGCATCTCCTTCTTGGCAAAAAGCCGGCTGAACAGCTTCGTGAACGTTAGCCCCATTATGCTTTCTTATGTAAGATCCCTGCTCATTTGCATAACATTTCACGGATTACAAACAAATACACATTGCCTTTTATACACAAGACTGAACACACAAAACCTATTACCGCAACAGTTTCACATAACCAGGCATTCAACGATTTATATAGGAAAACAACATCAGCAACAGGATCCAAGAAAAAACTAACATCAGAAACACAACAGGATCCAATAAAAAACTAACATCAGCAACACATTACAATCATACCAAAAGCAATATTTTCTTCCATAGTGATAGAAGCCATTCACTCCAAAAGCCAATACATTACTATCATTTTCACATAGGGTAACTTGTTAGTGTTGCTTATGACACACTATAGATCCAAAAAAAATATAACTTCGTCTCAGATCAAACGATAAAGAAATTAAGCTTATAAGTTTCCGGAAAATGTTAGAAAAGCAAACAAAGCAGTGCTTTAAATCAGCAATAAATGACCTCAAACCACCTCATAATCAGCTCAATATCATAAATTTCCCCGAAATATCACCACTACAGTCATACAATTCCAATAAGAATAAACACTCATCAACTATGACCTACGCAAGCATTCAAATCAACCGATTGGAGATAATTTCGGAAGAAATTCCTAGACATATCAAGGCATCACATTGATTACCGGCGCGTGATTCATAGACTACACCAAATCACAACATCAATCAGCTAAAAGCACAAATTCTCGTCATTTCCAACACGAAAACAGAAATTTTCCAAGACGAATCAACAAATCACATTTACATCCTACGCATCATTAAAAAAACAAGGCATCAGACTCACAACATCAATCAATTAAAGCTACAGCTTTACGAAAATTTCAAAAAATAGCAGAAATTTCGGTAATCGCCGAAGGAATCACGAGTTGCACCTTGAATAAACAGTTAAACCGTACAAAATCGACGGCGAAAATGAAGAAAGCGCCAAAATTGAGAAGAAAACTAGTTACCTGAGGAAGGATTTGACAGAGGGAAGAGAGGGATCTGAGGTGATGAGAGAGACTCGAAAATAAAAACGAAAGCTTGAGACCAACGCGTAATTATGGGGGAATGGGAATTTCAACTTGAGGTCCTAAATAAAGAGCGACGCCCACAGGCCCCAAGTTGAGGATGTTCTTGGATTTACTGGATTGCCATCTGGTTCCAGTTCGAATAACGCAAACTGCCAGTACTGATGAGTTGGTGGATCATTAGCTAACCGCGGCAAATGCATTCCTAACCGCAGGATTTTTCAGTACCAGTTGTTTGATGATGCCACGTGTCGGTTCTCACGAGGTCTTCAGAAGTAGCAGTAGTATTATTAGGTTTCATTAAACAACAAATCTAAGGCCAAAGGATCCTTCCTGGAAAAAAATTAGTATGAGAAAATATATAATAATGTTATGCTCGCTGTTATGGATTGCTTTCGTTCGTGTGAAACGTTATGGATTTGCTTAACCACGAGACGAATAGCTAGCTGTCCAATGTGGACCGATGCTCTACGACCTTTTCTTCTGGAAGAAACTAACATACCATACCATACCATATGTGGGTGAGTGGGTCTATTTCATTGACCACAAAATTCCCGCCCGTCTACAACAATTAATAAATATGTTTGCAAGATTAGAAACTACTTCACGATATGGTTCTGTCCCTGAGCAAATCAAAAGATCCTGGTTTTAACTAACATGTATGTCTATATATATACACACACACACACACACACGGGTGACCATTCGGACCGAACATGGCATGGTGCTGATAACAAAGATGGAACGGCAATTTTCCGTCTTATAAATATTATATGGTGCTTGCCCAATCAGCGCCAATACTGAGCCCAACGGTGTATGGTCTCGACCATTTGGGGGAATAATGCACTAACACTCTCATTTATGAGATCCTGGAAAAAGTGAATGCACTCCTCATCATCCAAGTCCAGCCGAAACTTCTCTTGAAGCTATATATCAAGGATTCAAAAACCACCTCAATAAAATGTTAGCAATACTTCTCAATAGAGCACAAGTAAACAGCAGCGTCACCTTTAGAATGCCTTTTTCAGGATCACAAGCTATGTCAGGAATATTGGAACCCGCCATCAGGTGAAACAGATTCAATATAAGGTTGCTTGATTTCCGGAGAATATTGTATGCTTCACAACAGTATGATTTGAACCTCGTATAGTATTGACTGCAAGAAAATCAATTTTGGAAAATGAAATGTAACATATCCTCAGAACTATTTTCCCCGACAATCCCACCACCACCCAAGAGACCTAATCGCTGCAAGAAATGGGTTTCTTTCTTCATTTGTCATACAAGCATAATTATTCTCGAAACTCAAAGACCAACATGACCGACTTTAGAGATCAGCGGGAATACCTCTCAGCTCCTCCCATAGCCTCAACCATTTCTTTGCAAAGTTTCATGGGTGGTGGAAAGGGTTTTGGATCCCGACCCAGAATGAAACCAAAATCAACATGCAATAGGCGACCATCATCTCTAAGCAGAAGGTTATCCAAGTGCCTATCAGCCAACAAAATTAATCCATTAGGAAATGCAATAACTCGGCATACAAATCTCAAGACACTGGCATGATGTTGCACAGTCAAAGCAGATAAACACACAGCAATAGCACACTTCTTCCAGTAACATAGCTTTTAACACACTGCAAACATCTACAATGCAAAAGTTTTACCATCAGGCAGCCAATCAAAGTGACTGATACTCTATACGTGTCTATAAACTCATTGCAATCCATCCCCTTTGCCAAAACAAACTTCAGCAACAATTTCATCATACAGACTATTGCAATTGTGGATGTAAGGTGATGAGAAAACGCATCCCACTAGATGATAACGAGAATAATTTATGGATCTCACGCGATTTCTTCAAGTTTATCTTGATTTGCCATCACAAAATTGCACAAACAACTTGTGGTCTGAATTCAAAAGCAAATGCTTGCAATAGATTAGGAGGATAATGGGAAAACACTGAAAATCATACGAGTTTAGAATTCTGACTAATATGAGAAAATTCATACTTCAAATTCAGTATATATGAGAGAGAGAGAAAGAGTCACAACAAAGTTTACGGCAAAAAAAAAGGAAGAAACTGAAAATTTATATTTCAAAATTCAGTTTCAAATGGCTGAGGATCCAAAACTTACATAGCATGCATGAACTTATGATGGTAAGACCAGAAAAAGCAATCATCATTAACACTCACCTATCTCCAATGCCTAAAATGTATGTGATGACTGAATAACCAGCACAACTTTTAATGAATGTTTCAAGACATGTTGCAGTAATCCCAAATGGTCCATCCTCATCTGGATGGAACTTTTGAAGGTAGCTTATGATACTACGGTGCTCTGAAAGAATCTGAAACCAAGAAGGAACAATATTCATAAAATAATGGAATTGATCAGTAACTCACAAAACAAATAAGAGCGCATATAGAACCAAAGTGATGCCCCTCAAATTACCTGTAAACATATAAAAAGATAACCAACTTACTCCTGAGGTTCAAAAACATGATAGGATAACGGCTAGCCAGCAGCTAACTAGTTCACTGCCTAGTCATTGAGGTTACAATAGCATCAACAGACTAGTTAAGGTATTTAAATGCAAACTAAAAGAATTCTAAGCCCATGTAATGCCTTTCTCAGATTCTCAAAGTTACTCCGCACAACACAAGGAACATTTGTCATTAGCTGTCCCCACAACATGAACTGAGTCACTGAGGACTCCCATAGAAATCCACAAGGGAGTTGCAATTGATCCTCCAAAAACATTAACATGAAATTCTTTGAAACAAAGAAGCCTGAAAAATCGAGGTTCGTGCAGTCACCTAAAACTAGCAAATAAAGGTGAGAGACAGTGCATCAGTGCCATTAAAAAATGCAAGGGCAATAGCAGGCTAAAATAACCTTTTTTTTTTTGGGAGGAGGTCCCACAATAAAAAAAATTTACCACACAGAATCAACACCAATATTAGGTACCTGTGCCAAAGATTTGGATGGTATGAACTCCATCATGCCTTCATCATGTCCGGTTGCTAAAACTCTGTATGGGGTCAAATGCAGATCAAGATTCTCCAGCTTAAGCAGACGATCCATAAGTGTTACCATTTGGATGACCTGAACAAAGTACAGTTTAGTATGCAACCAACAAACCATTTGGCAAGCCCACAAGTTTGATCACAAACCTAAAAGAAACCTTTTATCAACTAAACTTAGTAAAATTCAAATCTGGTTGAAAAAATATTTAGCATTTACCAACTGGTCTTGCCGAAGATCATCGCCTTTCTTAAATATTATCTTACAAATCCCACCATTTGTTGTTCGAAAAGCCAGACGCAATGGGTGCAACGCACTTTTGAATATTGATGATTCTGATGGTATAATCCCTGAAATGAGGACTCCAGGAGCCAGTGGTGATCGTATTGGCTGAAAGTATGAAACATAACTAATTTAAAACCATAATCATCACATGCATGCTCAAGAAGGAAAATGTTTGAGCAAGAAAGCCTATGAATTTCTGTCACATGATCACCTCATCAAAGTACTGATAGTAGAGAAAAAGTAGTTACCTCGTCAAAGTAGGTGAGCTCACTAAGAAGGCCGGATAAAAGATGTCTGAGTTTTTCAATCTTCTTCTGTGTACCTCCACGGACATTCCTAACATCTCTCATTATGGAGCATAATTGGGCAGTCAATTCTGTCTGGCGAACCAAGCTCTGCCACAACTTGAAACCATCTTCATCTCCATTTGCAACTATTCCCAACTGCAACAACAAGTAGAGAGAAATACCTTTAAAAACAGCAATGGGCCTAGTCTTACTTACTGTGCAGAAATCTTGCACAACAGTAAATGTTCCCCCCACACCAGACATTCAAGTAGATGCAAACACATTAATATTTTTCTAGTTGGTAGAAGAAACTGAGTACGACCTCTATAATCAAATTAGCTTTCACAATAATTCTAGAAGATCCCAATTTTTGGAGAGTAATTGGAGAAATGTAATCTCACAGTTTTGAAAGCTGAAACAAGTATAAAAATCGTTTATTCATAATGAAACATAATATTAGGATATTTAAAAGTATGGGATAGAAAGATAAACAAAAGAACTGAGTCTACTGATTCTGTGATGATAATCCACAAATCACCTTGAGCATACTTTCTTCCAAAATCTCATAGGTACAATAGAAACGTTTTGCATATGCAGGATCATGAAGTTCCACAGCAACATACCAGCGGAGGAAGCTAGCCAGCTCAATATTGCGCAATGCTGCCGAAACAAGCAACGTTAGTTTCAGATACATTTACAAGTAAGCCGCAATATAGATTACATTTGTTTATTGAAGATTCTCATGTATATTACAGCAAGCGTACACCGTTGCACAAGGAAATGGGATAAGCGAGATTTATCAGAACGCTCAAACCGAAGAGCTTGAACCAATTGAAGCAGGTAGCACTGGAGCTCATCATCATCGGCTCTTTCAAGTACACTGACAGCATATGCACGGACCTGTTGGATAATGACAATGAAGCACCCTAAGACTAAGCAAATCTGTTTGCAACCATAATGCACAAAAGCAATTTCGATTTTTCATGCCAATCAACTTATGAACAGTCATTTTTTAAGGAGCAATGGACCTTACTATGGGCTATTGCAATTCCAGAACTCACATAGTTAGGACTCTAGGAAGTAAATACTTCCTAAAAAAGGTTAACCACCAGAACTCACATAGTTAGGACTCTAGGAAGTATTTACTTCCTAAAAAAGGTTAAACACCAGAACTCACATGGTTAGGACTCTAGGAAGTAAATACTTCCTAAAAAAGGTTACACACAAATTTAACAGTGTAGAGTATCTTTCAGGAATGGACCTAGACACCCACACACACATGCAAGCATGCATCTAGCACCCACCTCTTCACTTTCGAACACAGGAGACAGAAGCTCCAATGCATCACAGACATCAATTGGTTCCCACTTTCCCATCAGTTCCAATGCCTGCTTTGCTTCCTGCCAAAACAAAAGTATAAATCATCACAAGACTTTCTACACGAAATGCATGTATTGTCTTAAGCATGTGTCACAAAAAGGGGTAAAGCATACAAGCAAACCATGAACAAGGATCAGGAATTAACCCTTAAACACCATCTACAAGAAAAAAAGGGAAAAAAAGCTAAAGAGAAATAGAGAGCAAGAAGGATATAGCAAATAAATAAGTATGGATGTAGGAAGTACAAACATGAAACAGACGGGGGAAGTTAAATTTTATGCACAACAACAATCAGGTTTGCAACTCAATGACATCCATCCATAGCAACAGACACCAGAAGTTCAATAGCTAATTATCCAAAATGTTATGGTCCAGGTCCATAAAACTTACTCACTGAATGTATATTCAATGACTATAAACATCCACATCCCTTCCCGCATGCAGGAAGTTGCTTTCTCAGGTTCAATGGGATTTATAGGTGGCAGGGGGCAAAAGAAATTACACCAAACAAAGAATCAATAATTATTTGTGATACAACATTGCACTAAATTGAGACAACCAAAGTAGGATGGGAAGATAGGAAGAACGCAGATGTACCTGTACATCACTCCACTCAACACACCGCAGAAATTTTGTAAGAGCTCTCTTCTCGGACATCAACGAAAAACGAAATTTCCAAAGGAGCTGCCTTTCATCCCCACTCAAAGTCCTTGTTGGAGGGTACTTTAATATTCTTTGTATCGACCTAACAAACGACGCAACAGCTTGCAGATCAACATCAATAAAATGACATGAAACAGAAACAGCATAACACGGTAAAACATAAATAGTTTGTTTGGATAGGAGTTTATTTGGATGATTTATTTGAGATAATTGCTGTAGGCAGGGACTAGTGACCATCATTATATCTTCAAGTATTCAACATGCGTCTTCACGGACTTCAACACTTGGAACTCTATAAACTGTTGTTGCTAAAATTGACTTTAAACCTGGAAATACATAAAAGCGTCCATTATGTGCCACTGCTAGTTCCTCAGCACTTAGTAGATGTATTTTCTATGTTACCAAGCCGTTAATGCATTAATACATGAAGAATTTATATCCTGAAGCACAAGCCAGCAATTTCTGCTGAGACAAACACACAGAAATACATGGAACTTACCTATCGTAGTAGAACCTATCAGTGGTATGGTAACCATCTCTTCCTGGGTTATCTTGAGCTTAGGTGCTTGCAATATGTAACGCAGTTCTGCAGCTTGCCGCCGAATGCTGACACTGGGATGTTTTTTCTCCAGCTGCTGGTAAAGTGCTATGCAATCTGCATGTCGATTGTTAGCTTCATAGGCCATTGCAAGCCATATTTGTATCTGATGAAACAAAAAGCATGTTATAGAAAATTAAAGATCATGATAAATATATATATATATATATATATATATACACATATATATTAAAAAAAATCCAATAAGACCACAACAGATCCTTCTCTAAAAAGTTGAGACTAACCTCACCACCAAACAAAGTTGGCCTGGAATGATGGTGAGGGCAGCTTCAAGAAACTCAATGGCACGTCCATACATTCCCCTCCCATAAGCTTTCTGACCCAAGTCAAACATCAATTGAGCCATTTTTCTCCGTTCAGCTTGCTCCTTTGCTACCTACTCTCACAGAAAAACAACTAGAATTAAGCTTTACCATCAGATGAGAACTATGATAGAACAACAAAATTTCAATACCTTGGACAAATCATTAATTCTTATGCTACATGTTGTTGTTGGTTGTTTTGTGATTGATTCTGCTGTTGGGTAGGCTGTCTAGATTGCTGTCCCTGCTCTTTATTTGCATGAGAAGATTCAAGTACACCCTGCTTTTCTCTCCTTCCCTGAAAATGTAAATCTGGTCAGATCAATATGTGGATTAATGTACAAACAATGTTAGTGAAAATTCAAATTTCATACTCGTTTGGACTGTTGCTTTTCTGAATTTTGGCTTTGCTGTTGCTGCTCAGCCCCTCTATCCCTTGAACAAGTTGCAGCATTGTGGCCAGTCTCTCCACATTTTCTACAGTGCATCACAACTATCTTGCGCAGCTTTGTACCATTTCCCTTTTCCTCTGTTATATCCCTTCTTCTAGCCTTTTTTGGCCTTCCAGGTTGTACACAAGCGACTGGAGGATCCATTTCCAAATGCTCAGAATTAGGCCAAAATGAGACCCCACTAATTGGCTCCAAGACATTCTCATAAATTTTAGCAAACAACTCTCTTGAGTAGCATGGGGCTGTGAACTGCATTGGATTTCTATCAGACACCAGCATTACAGAAATGGCATGAATACACGGAATCCCACTTATCTCCCAAAGTTGGCACGTGCATGTGTTTTTTCTGAAATCTACTGCATATTGAGCTGCCCGAGGACCTTTCACTTGGTAGCCATACAAACCATTCCAGATTGGCTCCCAAAGACAGGCCTGCTTAATTCTATCCTCAATCAATTCTTTGATTAGGGGCCCTACTGGTTCAGTCCATTTAGATATCCCTTCTCTTCTTTGTTGGATCCTCTGCATCACCTTCTCTCTTATTTGTTCAAGCATTGATATTATTGGTTTGTCTCTGGCTTCAAGAATGAACGCATTGAAGGTTTCACAAATATTGTTTACCAGCATATCACATTTCGTATGGACTGGAAAAAATGCCTTACACCAGTGCCTGGCATGAGGTGCTTTTTCCACCCATTTAAAGGCCTCACAGTCAAAATCTTTCATGTCTTCCATGGCCTTGTTGAACTCTTCCATACTTGTACTAGTGGCTATACCCCACATCTTGGATTTCAAAGCTTTGCCGGGATGTTTCTTTTTAAAATTTCTGTACATATGTTGTACACAATATCTATGCTCACTCCCAGGAGGTATCTCAGACATAGCTCTGTCCAATCCCTTTACAAAGGTAAAAAAACATGAGTCAACACTCAAACTGATAAATATGAAGGATATCGTTTCTATTGGAACAATTGTTAACACTCAAACTATATTGATATTCTTACCTTTTGTTGATCAGAAATGAAGGTGTAATGATGTTGATTGTCAATATTCAAGTCATCAGCAAGGAGTTGAAGGAACCATTTCCATTGCTCTCCAGCTTCTTTTTCAACAACTGCCCATGCAATGGGCCACCATCCATTGTTAGGGTCAACACCCATAGCTGTTAGTAATTGACCACGATGAGTTCCTTTAATATGACAACCATCAAGACCTATTAGTGGCCTGCAACCACTAAAAAATCCCCTCTTAAGTGGCCCCAAACAGCAATAGAATCGCATGAATGTTGGATTACCACCAGGTTTTCTGAATGGAGTGAATACAATTTTAGTCGTTGTACCTGGATGAGTTTTTTTAAGCTCCTCAGAGTACCTACCCAAAAGTTTGTACTGCTCTTCAGCTGAACCCTTCACAGTTTGGGTAGCTAGTGCTCTTGCTTTATATGCCACTGCTCTAGTGATTTTGGACCTGTACTCTTCATCAACTGTTTGTATTAACTCTTTCACAGGCAGTTGTAGGTTGGATCTGTACCTCTCTTCATACCTATTTGCCAACCACTTTGAGGTAATAGCTCTATTCTTCCAAGCATGGCCACAGTTTTCATGCTTATCATAGATTGACTTCACCACTAAGTCATTTGTGCCTAGACAATTTACTGTTGAGGCAAAAACAAACCACCTACAGGGGTGCTTACATTTTGCTCTAACTCTTTTTCTCTCATTTTTGCAAGGCTTCACAGGTTTACCATTAACAATTGCATAGTTTTTAAGAGCTTCTTTGAACTCCCTGCTATCAGCAAATCTTTGCCCTTTAAAGAATTTTGGATTCTTCATGTCCCTCTCTGGGATAAAGTCAATGAATTTAGGGATATGTCCTCCCCTTTCCTCAGATGACTCTTCCCCACTATCTAGTTGATCATCTATTTTGTCCCCATCAAATGCAGCTCCAACATCTATAGATTTTGAACCAAAAGTTGCAGGCTGTCTTGCTTTATTTTTTTTGCCTTTCTTTTGTGATTGTTGGGTAGGAATGTTAGAAGTTCCAGTCACATCTTCATGCTCCTGCTGCTGCCTTCCCACAGATTGCTGGTCATTTTATGTTTCATCTATACTGCCTGCATCCTCAAACATCAAGTCATCTCTGCAGAAATTATCATCAGCATTGAACTGCTCATTATCTGAGCTGCTGGTCGTGTCATCAGCAGCATCATTGTCTCTACCCTTACTAGTACCTACCCCTCCCACTGTTTTAGTTGTTGTCTTTTGTTTGCCACTTTCAATTTCAGCCTGTGAGGTTGGAATCTTTTCATTAAGAATGTCTTTCTGCACCTGTTTTTCTGTTAAATTTTCACCTACACTTGCACCACTTTTTTTTTTTAATTTTGAGTTTCAGCATTCAAAGGCTTTTTGGTTAATACCATATCAGTACAAGGCTCCTCTATAACTCTGCCCTCATCATCTATTTCTTCTATCAAAACACCAGATTTTGGTGGTGCTGCATATGTCTCTACTGGCTCATTGAATTGCATTTTCAATACCTCTTCAATGGTCTTATGGTCACAGTAAACTTCCATCACCTTATATTCCTATACCCAACTACAGAACTGGTTAACATGTTGATCAGTTTGCAATTGCCTTAGTCCATCAGGTAGAACACTTGTCGGCTCAAGGTAATAGTACAACACAGCTTCCTCTTCCCCATACCCCAGTTTTTTTAACATTTCATTAATCTCAAGCACTGACATTCTATCACCATCACACAAATCTATATGATCAACTTCACCACCAGTATAAAATCTGTAATCCGAACCATTAAACTTGCCCCCATAGTGCAATCTAATAGTAAAATATTCACTCCCATGTTCTGTACAATCATGTATCAAATTAAAGTCAAAATTCACTATATTCATAGAGTAGTAAAAAATAAGCAGCAAAATTGCTAAATAAACAATTGCCCATGCAACATCAACTATTTTTTGTCAAACTCTATACCAGAAATTTCATTAATTTACTATTTTTAGTAAACTAATAATGGACCACAGATATAGTAGGACCCCATGCAACCTACCAACAGGACAAAACTCTCAGACCCTGTTTCCACCCAATTAATTTAATTAAACTCCACTATATCTAAGCCCCTCTCAACCAACATCTAATTCTTTAACAGCCCTTAAATTGTTCAATAATAACACAACAATTACACACACAAACCCCGACGATATAAGCTTACAAATCAAGAGGCACATTACCGTATACGAGATATGGGTCAAAATATGCATCCCTCCTTCTGATCATCCATTTCATTTCTCCGTCCATCTGTAGCTTTCAATGCAGAATTTCTCCCATGCAACCTTCAATAGCTGTAATTGAAAGATTATCTAGCCATTCTTATACTTTAGATGAAATTTCAACAAGAAATGGGATTTCAACAAATGGGCAAAACTCGATTTTTGGAAAGGATTTCCATTGCTTCGATTTTGCCTTGCTTAAGAATTGAAGAGTTGCATCTTTCAATCTCTTTTTACGCTACTTAGTTGCTGGTCCCGAGGGTGCAAACATGAACGGACAAAAATGCCCTTTACTTCCTGTTAGATTTGTGGTTAAAGTCATCAGAAGTTCTCAAAGTATGCATTTTTAATTGTTTAAGGATCAATCGGAAACAAATTTTAGATGGGGGGCCAAAAGATGACAACGACAATAGTTTAAGGGCTCCTCAGGTTTTTTCCTCTGCATGTTTTGATCATTTTATATGTGCATGTATTGATTATTTTGACAAAAGAATGATCTAGAA